ATGATTTTATGTTTTCAATGCAGTAATCTTTAATTTTTTTTATAACACCCTGAAAATGAGTTTTTGATCAGAAAGTGGAAAATACACTTAATAAATTTAAAAACAAAAATCAAGTCCAAATTATGATATGAAGCCTTAACTGTCACAAGAAAAGTTGCATTTTCTGTAAAACTGCAATCTGAGTGCTGCTGACTTTGTAATTTGCTGAAAAAGCTAAAACTGAGTTTTTAAAGCTAAAACATAAGAAAAGCTACAAGCAGCATATTAGAACAAACCTAATAGCAACACTAGCTAAGAGCTAAAATATAGCAAAAAGCAGCTAAATGATAGCTAAAAGTAGCAAATTGCTGATTAATAAAGCAAAACAATCGTACTAGCTGTAGTAGAATTAGCTTTAGCAATATTAGCATTAGTAGTTTTGGTAACAAAGAGGACTAATAAATGTAGTTTTCTCCTGCAGATTTCAGGGGAGGCTTTGAGCTCCACAGTGCTGAGGAGGTGGAGAAAGAGAGCCACCTGCTGGAGGAGCTGGAGAAGCTCAGCCTGACTGGTTCCCAGGGATCCAGCAGGAAGCCCAAGACCTCCAGGTCCTTCCCGTCTCTGCTGGACATACCTGTGGATGGATATGACCCAGAGCCCCGAGACCTCAGACCCCCCTCTGCCAGGACCATGTCCCCCAACTGGCTGCTGGCCCACAGCAGCGACCCCCACCCTCCTCTCCGCACAGACATCAACACAGTCCGCTCCGTCCACGTCGACGAGCATTCGCTGCGCTCCACTTTGGACTGGGAGAAGGGACGGACTCTTTTCAGAAGCAGCCGTGCTCCGAACAGGAAGGAGCAGAAGTTCACTCTGCAGAGCGCAAACAGGAGGAGTCGGCCCCCGCTGTCTCAGGTGTTTGGGACTGATCCGGACCGACAGGCGAACGGCTTCGAAAACGGACTCATCGGTGCCGACCCTGAGGAGGAGCTCCAGTTCAGAACCGTCAGCATCTCCAAAACCAAACAGTCTCTGGGTAAACACAAACAACAACTTCCTGTTTACTCCACATGTTCTCCCGCTTTCTATGAACGTTACGTTTATTTAGTGGCAACTTTAGAGACGTTTAATATGGAAACCGAGTGGTGACGGTAAACTCACATCAGCAGACTTCTATAAATATGAACGCCCCCTCTGACTCCCGTTGGTGTGACGCTGCAGGGATCAGTATTTCTGGTGGGATGGAGTCCAAGGTTCAGCCGATGGTGAAGATCGAGAAGATCTTTCCTGGAGGAGCTGCCTCCACATGTGAAGTCCTCAAGGTAACAACACGGGCATATTTACATATTATGATTAAATGTGTTTTCTTTGGTTGCTATGTCTAAACTGTGATAGAAAATCATATTGTCACATTTTTTAAGAATTTGCAGCAGTCGACTACATTTTTGATGCTATGAATATTTAATCAATTAGCTCATTTTTGTAGAAGGTTTATATATTCTGCTTTTGCCAGCTGTCTTGTAGAGCTTATTTCACGACAGGGCTGGACGACATGTTTTTAATTCTCATTTTGAGTCAAATTAAAACCAGACATTTAGGAGATTTACACTTTTTGAATCTACACGATCGTGGCTGAATTATTAGTTTTCTGTGGATCGTGACAGGAACATAATATAAACTTCATATATTAAAGTAAACAAGTACATTTTTTTGTAGTTTATAGTACCGTCTTCAACAGACATTTAAAGCCTAACTGTCCTTCAGAAAATGCATCGCCAGAGTTTTAAACTGAGATAAAATGATTTCAGAAAGTGATTAAATTTCAGCCTTTTGGTCAAACTTTATATTTGATCAGTTCAGCTCAGAGTACAGGTGCTCGTCATAAAATTATAATATCATGAAAAAGTTGATTTATTTCAGTAACTCCATTCAAAAAGTGAAACTTGTTTATTATATTCATTCATTACACACAGACTGATATATTTCAAATGTTTATTTTATTTTAATGTTGATGATTATAACTGACAACTAATGAAAACCTCAAATTCAGTATCTCGGAAAATTAGACTATTGTGAAAATGTTCAATATTGAAGAAACCTGGTGCCACACTCTAATCAGCTAATTAACTCAAAACACCTGCAAAGGGTTTGAATGGTCTGTCTAGTTCTGTAGCTACACAATCATGGGGAAGACTGCAGACTTGACAGTTGTCCAAAAGACGACCATTAAAGAGGCTGGCTGTTCACAGAGCTCTGTGTCCAAGCACATTAATAGAGAGGTGAAGGGAAGGAAAAGATGTGGTAGAAAGTGAACAAACAATAGGGATAACTGCATCCTGGAGAGGATGGTGAAACAAAACCCATTCCAAAATGTGGGGGAGATTCACAAAGAGTGGACTGCAGCTGGAGTCAGTGCTTCAAGAACCACCACGCACAGACGTATGCAAGACATGGGTTTCAGCTGTCGCGTTCCTTGTGTCAAGCCACTTTTGAACAAGAGACAGCGTCAGAAGCGTCTCACCTGGGACTGCTGCTGAGTGGTCCAAAGTTCTGTTCTCTGATGAAAGTAAAAGTTGCATTTCCTTTGGAAATCAAGGTCCCAGAGTCTGGAGGAAGAGAGGAGAGGCACAGAATCCACGTTGCTTGAGGTTCAGTGTCAAGTTTCCAGTCAGTGATGGTTTGTCATCTGCTGGTGTTGGTCCACTGTGTTTTCTGAGGTCCAGGAAGTTTTAGACACTTCATGCTTCCTGCTGCTGACCAACTTTATGGAGATGCAGATTTAATTTTCCAACAGGACTTGGCACCTGCACATAGTGCCAAAGCTCCCAGTACCTGGTTTAAGGACCATGGTATCCCTGTTCTTAACTGGCCAGCAAACTCTCCTGTTAATCCCAGAGAAAATCTATGGGGTAGTGTGAAGATGATTTGATACACCAGAACCAACAATTCAGAAGAGCTGAAGGTCACAGAGCAACCTGGGCAGAGCCACAGACTGATGGACCCCATGTCACGCTGCATTCTTGCAGTAATCCAGGCCAAAGGAGCCTCAACTGAGTATTGAGTGCAGGGCATGCTCATACTTTGCAGTTGGCCAACATTTCTAAAAATCATTTTTTTAAATTGTTCTTAAGTAACATTCTCATTTTCTGAGTTACTGAATTTGGGGTTTTCATTGTCAGTTACAATCAACATTAAAAGAAAAACATTTGAAATATGTCAGTTTTGTGTAATGAATGAATATAATAAAAAAGTTTCACTTTTTGAATGAAATTACTGAAATAAATCAACTTTTCACAATATTCTAATTTTATGACCAGCACCTTTTATGTGTTATGAGACTCGCCTACCACCGCTCTGAATTTTGGTTAGATGTCTGCAAAACACCCAGGACATCCTTGTAAAAGAGATCGATGATCTCAATGGATTTCTTCCTGGTAAAATAAAGGTATAAATAAAAAACTGAGTTGTAGCCATTGTTGTGTTTGCCAACTTTGATTAGCTGTAGCAGCCATCTTGATTTAGGGCAACTCCAAAAGCGAGTATGTTGTAGATGTGATCCATTTCTGAAAAGTTAGAATAAATTTAATAAATTGGACTTTACACTTTGTATTTTTGTGTCTCAGGCTGGGTTTGAGCTGGTCTCTGTGGACGGCGTTTCCCTCCAAGGAGTTACCCACCAACACGCTGTCGACGTCATCCGCAAAGCCTTCAGCAACAAGGCCAAAGAGCCCATGGCGTTTGTGCTCAAAGTTCCTAAAAACTCTTGAAAAAGCTGTCAAGGTTTGTACGTTTTTATGCCCAGTGTTAGCCGTCTTCTGCTGCAGAGGTCAGGTATGTCATTTTACAGATAATACTCAGCCTGAAATATAAAAACAGCCTTCGACTTAAAAGCTACAATAAAAAAAACAGAACTCTTGTCACTAAAAATGCTAAATAATTTCAAGTAAAACTTGTATTTAAATCATACAATTGTGCTTCTTGTGCTTTTATGGAAATAAAAACTATCAACACAAATAAATTCAAAGTTTTTGTCAATTCCTGAGTTTAAAATGTGCAGGAACTTATTACTTATTACAAAGTTTATTACTTTGTAATAAACATTTTGTCCTGCAGGGGGCAGGCACGAGTCGTGCAATTAAAAAACCCTGAACTCATAATGAGATGTAAACATGAATTAAAACTAACACTAAACTTTTACTGGACAAAACTTTAAATATAAAGTATTTTTTTACACAAAACAGTTTATCAGAAGGTAAACAGTCTTTTAATTAAAACCAAAGTGAAATATACAGCATGAAAATATACATTTAACGTCTTCATACAAATAATGCAGGTTATAAAATTTAATCAGAGGAACCAAAACAAACTAATATACATGATTTATATTTATAGGGGAAAAACACACGTTGGGTATTTGCTTTGGTCTATTCACAGTGGTTATGTTGGGTTTTATAAAACCTTCAGAATATAATGAGTGGATTATTTACAGGTTTGATCGAGTGAAACGTGTTGTCACTTATACAGGGAACTGTAGGAAGAGGCGACGTACCGATCAGGAAAAACAGTGACTTTACTCCAAAACGTCTTTCAGTGCATGAGCTCCGTTTCAGTGACGATACATAAATTTGAACACGCTGCCCAAACAGCTGTGACCCATTTAATGCTGCTTAAGGTGAATAGAAAGACTTTTAATGAGATGATGCGCTTCTATTTGTTGGAGGAAAAACAAATCACAACAGACTTTAGTGAGAGAAGTTGGATTCTGCATTTTGTGGCTGCTTTTTGTTTTTCCCCTGGGTTCCTGAATGATTGAAAACTATTTGATGCTGCAGTGTAGATTATTATTATTATTATTAGTTTATTTTAGGTCTGAGAGGTTCTACACCGTATGAGCGTCGCAGCTTTCTACATCACATCAACCAAGAGGAGCCTAAATATTTATACAACACATTTCCTCACGCTGCTGCTCTTTACTTGCTCTACTCTGTATTTGTAATTATTTCCATCTTAACATGTGTTTTTGTCTTTCCACCTATAGAAAGTACATCTGGACCTGCTTCTACTTCCTGTCCTCTCAAACCCAGCCGCTCGTCCTGAGCCTGGTTCTGCTGGAGGTTTCTTCCTGTACAAAGGGAGTTTTTCCTTTCCACTGTCTCCTTTGTGCTTGCTCAGGACGGGAGACTGTGACCAAGTGAAGCCTCATCGCAATATGCAGGCTCCCTTAGAGAACTCTTACTAATTAGTTTTTATAACGTGTGTGACTTCTGTTGGGACTTGGCGCCATATCGTTAAACTGAACTGAATATTCCCACTCCTAACTCCAGTGGATTAGGTTGGGTACAAAGTGAGCCAAGGCGGGTACGGTGTTGGCAGAGGTGGGCAACAAAATAAACGGTCTAGAATACAGTTGAGCGAGCTCTGCACACAAACTGCTGCCACACAAGCTAACTCTCAGGATCCAGCAACTCAAAGTTTGCCAGTTTCCACCGGGGCCCAACGTGACCTCAACTAAAACAGAGAGCCGTTGGTGGTTTATGGTTTGTTCAGGATTCTGTTTACATAAAAGCCTGTTTCTGGTCCGGCGAGTTGTGACAACATCACTGTTCTGTCCGTGTCACCCCGGCTAACTGAGTCACTTCTTCTTACGAGGACGCGGTGAACGTTGACACGTTCTCTGTAAGCAGCGCTGACAGAGTGGGAGTGTGGCGCTCCGAACCCAGCAGGGGCGGTGGAGTCAGAACGTCGCAGCAGGACGACGGTGAAAGGTTGAGAGAAGTTGCTCATAAACTTCTAAGTGTGTGAAAACTCAACAGACAATGAATGAAGGAGAGAACTTTAAAGCATTTAAAGGTCAAATGGCTTTTAGGTGGGACAACAGTCACAGTTAAAGTGTGGCTGAGCTCATTAAAAACACTCACCTGCTCCGTTTCGATCAAACAAGAAGGGAAACATTTATCTGTAGTGCAAATATAAACTGAATCAAATTTCTGTCGCAGCAACTTCATCAAAGTTGATCTCGTTGCCGCTGCCCTCGTCCTCCTCTCTGCTCTCCAGTTCCAAACTGAGCTCCTGCAAGAGCTGCTCCAGCTCTCGGTTCTTGCGGTACATCTGCACATAGTTCTCCTGCAGCTGCTTCTGGTAGCGGATCACTTTGTCCTTTTCCTCCTGCCAGATCTTGCGCTCTTCTTGGAAAGTGCCCTCTTGCTGCTCGACCCTCCGACGCTCAAAGTCCAGCTCAGAGTTCAACCTGTCCATCTGCACCTTCATGTTCTGCAGGGCCTTGTCGCTCTCGTAGGCGAGCAGGTGCTCCTCTGCTTGCTGGAACACCTGACACTGTCGGTTTCCCGCCCCCTGATTGGTCAAGGCGTCTCTGAGATTCGCCAGCTCGCCCTCGAGCCGTCCCACCTTTTCTCGGAGCAGTTCCGCTTCACTCTTCCTGCGCTGGAGCTCGTTTTCACACACCTCCAGCTCCATGGTGCGCGTGCGGTTTGTGCCGTGGGCCTCCTGCAGCAGCACCTGGACGTTGGTCAGCTCGCCGCGGTTGTCTCTGAGCTGACCCCGCAGGGAGACGATCTCTCCCACGCGTTGAGCTAGCTCGTTCTGCACCTCCTTCAGCTGCTGCTTCAGCAGAGAGATTTCACCCGACTTCTGGCAAACCTGAGAGGAAAGAACGAGTCGGAACAGAAGTTCACCTCCGTCTTTAGAGAAAAGATCCATCAGAAATATAAAGTAACTGAAGATAAACAGGACTGTCGCAGTTAAAGAAAAAAAAAGTTGAGCAATTTGAATAAAGCTGTTTAGAGGAGGCAGCAACGATTACACACTTTATTGCTGATTTGTAGTTGGAGCTTAAAGTTCTGTTGATCTGAACATGTCTTGTGATAAAGAATTGTCAGTGTTCTCAAGGAAACCCTGGATGTAAAAAGAATCCAAACTACCGTATTTTTTGGCCTATAAGTCACAGTTTTTGCATAATTTACATGCCCTGTGATTTATAGGCAAAAGCGACATTTGTTTTTTCCCCATATTTAAAAACCAATTTTTGGCTGAGATATGACCGTTTTCATTCATTCTGACTGAACATATCGAACACTACCATTTTCAGCTGCTAGATGGCAGCACAGTAGTATGGTAAGCCGTTGTATCATGTAATAGGTAAAAGTGGCTATGATGACTAATTCAAAAAAGTTCAAGACAAAAACAACTATACTTTATTTATTGCTTTTGTGTTGAACTTTTTTGAATTTACCATGTCCTGGATGACTGAGAATCTTCACCAGCTATTAATGACACAATCAGCTTACCATACCCAGACACCTTCGTTCTGCTCACTTCTTGGAGCAGCCGTCAAATCAGCTTCATTTCGCTGCACCGCTCCAGTGAAATGCAGCTAATCTGACCATTAAAGTGCATTTTTTAAGCAAAAGTTAGACAGAGACACACCTTTACTATAATTTCAAGCAAACAAATAATTGTTTTTAAGTGTTGTTAAAGTCCTCCCGTGCACGCTCCCACAGCCGCCCTTTGGCAGCCAATAGATTTTTGGCACAACACCAGCACACATTTCCGGGTTGTCAGTGGTGATGCAGAATAGATGCGACGTATTTATGGATTTTTCCACTTTAGACATGTTTGGACTGATACGACGTGTACGGCGCAAAATATTCCAGTCACTATTACTGCCCATTAAAGTGAGACGTGGTCCCATCATCCTGATTCAGAGAAGAACGACAAAGGATCTTCTGCTCACCTCCCATTTAGTCTCCTCCAGTCGAGGCCCCAGCTGGATCTTCTCGTGTTCGAAGGAGGTGCAGCGCTCCTCTAGATGCTCCCTCTCCTTCAAAAGCTGAGCAAAGTCCTCCTGCAGCTTCTTCTTCTCCTGCTGGAGCTGGTAAACCTGAAGTCACGATACATGAAAAAATAATCTACAGTCAATAACTGATCTGTCAAAAGCCACGTCTTTACCCCCCACCCCTCAAAAAACTGTTTGAGTTCTTATTACAACCCCCATACTTCTACTGTACTGAGACCAGAGTAGTTTGCCTGTGATGATCATGATTCTGCTCTAACTGAATAAAAAGGAGGTGGTTTGTGTTCAAAGTTCTGACCTGCAGCTGAAGCACCTGCTGAGCACGCTGGGCCTTCTGAGAAGCTACCTGCATCCTCGTAGCGCAGCTCTGCCTCAACTCCTCCAGCTCCAACTCAAAACGCTTCTGCTTCTCTTCATAAACCTGCGAGGCGACAAAGAGCAGCAGGATTTGTAGAAACAAAGGACATGAACAAAACTACTGATCTGAGTTTGAACTTCTTCACACCTGACAGATTGCAGCTTCGTTATCGTCCAGGTTGCCTCTGAGCTGCTGCAACTCCAGCTCTCTCTCCCTCAGTTTGTCCTCCAGGTCTCTCACCACCCCTTCGTAGCCCTCCGTGGGACCAGGAGACCTCCCACCGGACCCACTGTCAGACAGGGGCTGCCCCCGGCCACTTATGGACCCAGATCCTGTGCTCTTGCTGGAGGACGAGCGTCCGCTGTCTGAGTTGGACTGTCCATGTACACCAAGTGGCGGGACGCTCTTCATGGGCTCCAGGTGCCCTGCGGCGGCGTCCCCCGATGCCAGACCGTAGCCGGCGTTGTTGTAAGGCGGCAGGCTGGAGAGGGAGTTACGGCCCGAGTCGGACAGCGAGCAGGACTGGCTGCTACCGTTGCTGACGTTATGTCCTCCGTTGTAGGAGCTGCGTTTCTCGGAGCAGGGCGGCGACGCCTCTCTGTGGGCGGGGCTGAGCAGGTTCAGATTGTTTTGGCTTTCGGACGCGTTGGCACAGTGGCGAGGAGAGAGATACTGCATGGAAGAGCGGCTCTTGGGAATGACGGGTTTGAAGGCGGTGGGCCGCAGGACCGTTTTCTCCATGTTCTAATTCAGGAATTGACAAGAAGTAAGAGGGAAACATCATGTTCTGTGCTTGAAGGGAGATTAAGATTACAGGCACAAGTGTTCTCATTTAAAGCATCAAAACTGTCAGATTTTATCATTTTAGGCCCCAAATTAAAACCACACGAAATAACAGCGTACCAAGATCTTTACATCTACTCGTCTGTTACAACATAAAAAGGATTTTTAAGTCGTTAATCTTGGTGTAATTCATGTAGACTCACCTTCTCCAGTTTTCCTGACACCGGGATCAGTCTTGGAGGAGGTCCCCCCATATTCCCATTTAACCCTAATCCTTCTTTAGAGTCATCCGCATCACTGTCCTGGATAACAGGTTTGAAGTGATTATCATTCCAGTCTCCGTTTATATAAGTGTAGTTCCCATTCCCGCCGTCCTTCTCCGGGACTCTGATGGACCCAGTTGAGCTCGGTTTCTTCAGAGAGGGGATGTTCTGCATTAGTGGGTCTTGGGGTGATTCGGTGCCGAGGCAAGAAGTTCCTGGCATGGGCCGCCGGACTCTGGTCCCCAGCTCGAAACCAGAGCAGTGATCCGGGTAGGGTCCGGTGCGAGTAGCAACAAGGCTGCTGACAGAACCCATAGACTCCAAGGGCAGGGGTGGGGGGTTGACGGGGGGTGAAGGGCCAGAGGGGTGTCGTCTGCGAGCGCCACCACTGTGGCTGGGGGTGTGGGGCTCAGTAGACAGGGGCAGAGCCTGGACCAGGGCCATGGTGGCAGCTCTGAGGGGTCACTGGCATGAGAGAAAAGAACCAGGATGAGCCTCGAACAGATGCTTCAAAGATTCTCCACAATTAAGATTAAATTTCAAGTTTCCTTATTGTCATTCACATCCCATCTGGTACACGAGGTGGAACAAAATTGTGTATCCAAGATCCCAGTTACACCCAAAAATAAAAAAATATATAAAGTACAAAAAGAAACGGTATATAAGGATCTAAGATATATGCTAAACACTAATAATGTAAAATAATTCAGTATATTAAAACAGCAACTTTAGGGTTTTCTTGGACAATTTCTTTTCGTCAGAAAATGATAATTTAAAGTACATTAAGAGCTGATTATTTTGGGAGACAACCCAATTAAAGATGGCCACCACAGCTTTACCCGACACAGAAAATGGCTGTTTTACTGACACTGAGCTCCAATTTAATGTGGTAGTAGCTGGAAGTCATTATCAACATTTAGTCCAAGTGCAAACAGATAATCTGATTGTTAGGGAGTGATTTTATTCTAAAACTCTGGCATGAAAAGCAGCTGATCCTGAAACTTGGCGTCAGTTTCTGACTTCCTCTAAAGTCACTGTTATTTTGCAGCGTTTACACAACTGACACAAAGGTTTGTGTTCTTCACATTTACTGATCATATCAAGGAAACCGAGTCAAAATTAAATTTTTCTTTAGGAGTACAAACGGATCCTTTAAATATTTCCACAGGGATGCTTTCAAGGAGTGTTTATCACAGAGTCTAAACAAATGAGGTTACTGTAGACTGAATCGTAGAAAAATCCCACACACGGAGAACCAGGACGGGACATTCACTAAATCCAGCCAAGCAGCACAAACGGGGTTCGGCCACATGGCAGCACAAGAAAGAGGTCTCTTGATGTGAGTTGTAAAACTTTTAGCAACATGTTGGCGTTTTTTTCTTGACGGTGACAAAGGCTGATGTCTCCACGCATGAAACCAGCCTTAAAGCGACTCAGCTGTGGATAATCCCTCAAAGGAACAACACAAAGAGGAGACCGGTTCAGCCTGCTACGATACTCCTGTGGTCTAAATTCCAGAGTAACTATGTTTACATGAGACATGAGCGAGAAACAATATGAAGGGAAAGTCACACACAGAGACTTACATGTTCACTCCTTCACCCTCCCAGGACCGCTGGGAAATACTGACATTACAACACGAGAGACTGGTCTGAACAGTTCGTCTCCTGGCTGCTGAATTCTTCTTGTGTGGAGAGAACAATGGGCAGCAGGACGCATCATATGAGGTCATTCCAAACACGAAACAACAGCTCAGCTTGTTACGGTCTAAAAACATCAACACAGTGAGTCAGAATGTGAGGATATCCGACATGCGGGTGTGACTAGTTTCAGGCTAGCAAAGCAAAAACATTTTTTGTTGTTGCAGCAGAGCCCAACTCTCATCTGGACAGAAGGTAAATAATGACCAACCATGCACTGCTTCAAGGGACGCCAGGTCTTAGATTATATCAGTTGTAGCCGCTGGTCAAACCTCTCAATGGCATTATGCATGGACTCACGAGATGCTTACATCAGAGGGGCCCAAAGTGGGGCCCGTGGGCCTGAGTTGGCCCATCAAGCTGTGTTCGTTACTACATTAATATTTCCTTTAAAGAATCGATGCGTTTCCACTCATTGACTTTGATGTTAGATGGAAAAGTCGGCCCAATGACTACCGTATATACAGGACTGTTTATTTATGTTCAAATTGTTAAGTTGTGTTGCAGGTGAACATGAGTTTTTTGACATTTTGCATATACATACTGAAATGCCAACATTTCGACATTTGTTTTAATTTCTTATATATGACTTATTTGTTGTATTTTGTGTTCTATAATGTTCTTTATTCAGAATTGAAGCTTAAATAACTATAATAAATAAATGGACTTTACTTAAAGATGGATTTGCGTTTCATGAATTATTTGTTTGCATTTAGCCCGCAGCCCTCTGATAGATTTTAAATTTGGCTTTACTCAGGGTCCCAGTTACATCCAACAATAAAATGTAAAAGAAAAACAGTAATAAGATCTAAGATATGAACTAAGAAAAACAACTAAATATGCACTAAGCACTAGTAGCATAAAAACATTACGCTGAACAGCAGCACGAACATGAGTCTGTGTGAGCAGATGAGCACGCATGAACACAGCAACAAGAAACAGATCAGCAGCAACAAGAAACAGATCAGCAGCAACATAAAGTGATTATTCTGGTTAGAGATTCATGAGTCTAACAGCCTCAGGGTAGAAGCTGTTCCTCAGTCTAGTGGTTCTACACTTAATGCTCCTCAACCTCCTTCCTGAGGAGCCTTGTATGAGTTATGGTCATGGAGCTGTGGCAGCAGAGACGTGCAGTGATGCCTCCTGTCCTCAGGTGCTGCTGTGTGAAGCGGTACACTCATTTGAATTTGTTTATAGACAAAATAGAAGATCATATCTTTAAACTAAAGGATTTTTTTCTAAACTAGATGAGTCATACACATAAAACAAATGGATTAAAACATAATAAATAACATTAAGCATGAATGCAATGCTGTTTTTGACACAGCCAGAGTTTAGTTTTTTTTTTTATTTAAACATATTGAATCTGGTTACAGATGTTAAATTGACAGAGTTCCAAACAGAGAGAGCACTTTGAGCTAAAGTGGTTCTACGAAAAGGAACCGACGCCATTTAAAGCCGCTCTGGTAGTTCTGCTGTAGCCCTGCGGCTTCTGTAGAATTGCTTAATGGTTTGGGTGCAAGCCCATTTAAGTATCTGAAGATCAATTATAAAAACATTTAATTTATAAAATTGGAAAACTCTAGAATAACGAACTTAGCTAAAATGTTACAGTGATGAAATCTGATTGGCTTTTGGTATAAAACCTTCAAGGTCCGATTGAAAAGACTTTCCGATGGTTTAAGTTTAGTTTGATGAGTCTGTGACCAGGAGCTCCATAAGACAAATGTGAAAGAATCACAGAGTTGAAAACTCTGCGCAATGAAGTGTCAATTAATTATTTTAAAACAATTTATATTGAAATATAAGCTTCTATTTTTGGTTCATATATGTGTGAGCATCCGATTCCAGACAGTCAGTGCCTCACCGCACGTCATCTTGAATTAAAGAGCTTATTCAGACCTGGGCATTGTACGGCCCCAGGGCCACATGCCCAGGCCCTTTGGTTGACTCTGACCGGCCCCCATAAGGGGAATTACAAAATACATATGTAAACAAATGAAGTTAACCAAATCCAGATATAGATCCTCTCTCACTGATGATGTCAGCTTTGCTTCACATCTCCACCTCAGACCTTCAACCTGACTAACATTTCCGTTAAAGCCCAACAGAGACTAGACTTCTCTCACTAAACAAGAAAAAAGAACTGAAAAACACCAAATGAGATGTTTAGACTACAAATGAAGGCACGTAAAGAACCGGGACTCGAAATCACAGTTCAGTGACGATCACGATTATATGATGTTTCATAATATTTGGAGTACAAAGACAATATTGTGATATATTTAGAAAGCTAAGAACTTTTTCCAGCATTATATAAAACTCAAAATGAGTTTTGGGGTGAATGTGACTGAAAATGATCACTAATATAACGTCACAAATGGTAAAAATGTTAACAGTTTACCATTGTACTGGGAAATTTAATTGAATAAATGACATTTTTTGTAAGGAAACCTCGTTTTTTCGTTGCTTAATCATAACAAATACTCTTACCAGCTTATTAAAACAGTGCTATGTACTGCTTTTAGTAATGAAATACTATTAATATGATGCAGTATTGAGTTAAGTTGAAATCAGGTCTCTCTTGTAAATGAGTCCTCGAGGCTCAATGGGATTTACCTGTCTAAATAAAGGTTGAATGAAAAAGTCATTTGTGCCAGCCCTCCACAATATTTGTTGTTTTTCATGTGGCCCCATGGAAAAAAATAATTGCCCACCCCTGGCTTAGATGTACATCAAATAACTTTCTAGGAGTTTCACTAAAATCTGTCCAGTGGCTCATGAGAAAATTTGATAAACGCCAAAGATTTAAATAAAGATGTTGCACAGTGAGTAGCATTTAAAAGTATGTTTATGTCTCGTCTGTTACACCACACCAGATTTTAGCTTAAAATCTGTAAAACTGACTGAATTACAATCTTTTTTTTTGTGCAAACTAATCTCGTTTAGCTACGGCAGCAAACTTCACTGGGGTTGACTCTAAGGGTTATAGTAGTAAATGTACAATCCATGATTCTTTAAAAAAAATTGTTGTAATCCATTTCTTAAAAGTTTCTGAAAGTTACTTTAAAACCATGAGATATTTTGTGAACGCTACAGAGAAAAGAACACGCCTACAGACAAAAACATCATGTCCTCCAGACAAATACGTCAAGATGGTGCCTGGCGGCTGGAATGCTGGTCAGTCACATTTCTAGAGCAGAGCAGCCACAACAAGTAGTTTTCTATCCTAAGCTTACGATGAGCCTCCAAGGCTAACGGTAATCAGAACCCTCTAAACCTGGCTGATCAATCCTTGGACCTCGTTTACACCTGAACGATCTCCTGCAATCATTGTACATTTTACAACGGTGGCTGTAAAACTTGCACACGGTAACGCCACCATCGCAACTCCTGTTTAGACGAGACGACAAAAAAAAAAAAAACCTGTTGAATCGGCTTCAGTTTTCAGCTGGCGCTGGGATTTTTGTATTTCAGTGACAGGTCCATAAGTTTAGACTTAGACTTATGTAGTGGACTAGGCCCATGTCAAAAACTAAGTCTAAGGTCAAAACTCTTGACCTTTAGAACCTTGTGGGACAGGAACTGTCATTTCATTCATTTGAACTCAGAAATACAGGTTCACCCATCCTGAGACTTTCTTTCTTGAAGATTCAAGTGAAAAGAACACTCTCTTTTTATTATCATTACTATTTTTCAAATGTTGATAATCAAAGTGTCTTAGTTCAAACCATTTTAGATGTGGCAGTGAACTAATCAATTTTA